AACTACAGTAATCCTTACAGAACTAGCATGGTTCCAGCTAATGAGCTCTGAAACCATGGTCTTACGGCATGATGGTTAAGTCAACGTTTAGTGGGTAATGATGATGAAATTTTCAAATCCGAAAACACAATTTTTAATTAAATGTATCCTTGGGATGAGCATAACTGAAATAGTAAAGAAGAGTAAGTAATGTACCAGATAGTTAAAAATCCTTACTGCGAGTATGAACTAATTCATATCTATTTTTCTTAATATCTGTAATTGAATTTCAATAATAATTGGAATCTCAATAACCAATTGGTTAAGACAAATCACACTATATCCATGATATTATTTTGTAGGGGTAATCCAAAATATATATTCATTATCAAATATATATTGCCATCTATTGGCAATCAAATGCAAAATTAAAGTAGATTCTTTATTTTACTTTAGTCAAGGCTTCAGACTTGTCACAGGGTTTCTCACTCGATATTGCAGCATCAAAAAACATCTACGAATATAGATATTACTGTCACGAAGAAGCGGAAGCAGCAGAACACTTTTTGTGTCACTGTGATAGTCTCGCCAGGCTCAGACTTCGGTACTTACTGCCTATCCACTTATAACGGAATTAGACAACATCTCTCCAAAAGGCATAATGGTTTCTCACAATAATCCTCAAAGGATGCAGTGACGTGGTGACATAATTATCATGCCTTTCAAAATCTAATCGAATAAACTAAAGTTATTCTTAAATGATATACTGTCAATAATTTCATATCATATAGGGAAATAGAAACGGAGTTATTGTAACACATCCACAATGTTTTTATATTCTTTTAGAGGTGTTTTATTATGACCCATTATCCAATATTGCTCTTTGGAATCGATTACGAATATCAATAAACTCGCAAATTTTTCATTACATGATTGTGGATTAAGTATTTGTTATTATTTGTCTGTTCATCTGAATCTCCTACATTCTACTTATATTTATTATTATACCGAATCGAACACAAAAGTGATATTTTAGTGTGAAATGACTTTAACTTTATTCGTATGCAGTCATGCTTCAGATACAAGATAACAAAATAGCGAACTGACAGTTTTGTTATAAATTTTCCACTATAAAATCAATGGAAAATACAATGCATAAATTAGAACAATATGCTCTGTGGTATGAGTAAGGACAGTAACAATATATATACGTATATAAATATATAAGTATGAATGTGCTCATATTTGGAATATTACAAGATGCACAATACCATAAAATTTATTTGTTAGTTGATATGTACCACATACATTTGACATGACCCATATAAAGCATACAAGCCATTGTGATGACCATTGTGTATAATCCGATTGTTGTTCTTAACTATTTCAAAATCATTATCGCATTAAATGTCATTACTTAAGACACTATCAGTGCATAAAGTGTATAACAATAAAACAGTAACTACTGTAGTATTGGGAATGAAGTGTATACCGAACAAGTAAAGCAATTATTGCAAACATTTATATTTTCAAAAATGCATTATTATTACTTTTATAATGTCTCATCGTCGATCTGACTACCATTTGCTTCGATCTCTGCAAAACTTTTATAGGGGTAATCCAAGATGTCTAACCAAAGAACTTAAGAGTTGTCCAAATTTTTCACTGATAAGCCTTAGAAATTCTACACTTATGGTATAATGAAGCTACCTGAATAATGGCAAAAGTTCAGTAATAATAATGAACAACATAAACTGTATCAAAATTGATTTTCATTAAAGAAAGTTTTTGTTCAAGAATGTACCAAAAAACCGTGACTAATTTTTAATAAGTGTAGTAAAAACAAATCCATAGGCCAAAAATCACCGTGTTATTCGATAACTTGTTGCTATTTTGAAGATAGGTTAATTTCATTATGCCTCTCTCATAGAAGTCCTCATCCCTATTGTCAAAAATTGAGACAGTCAATTTTAACAAGCCTCTCTTTAAGCGAATTTATCACCAGAAAAATTATTCATCGTTCACAATGGGCAGGAACAGATGGTAATCACTTGATGTCAGGTTTGGACTATAAAGTATAAGCAAAAGAATTTTCCAACCTGCCGTGGCTTCGTGAAACACAATTACTTTCCTGTTACTCAAATCTAGCCATTTCTGGGCGATTGCTTCCTTCAGACAGTATATGTCCAATTATTGACAGCACAGTTCCTGGTTAAGAGTTTTGTCGTGGAGAAGCAGCTCATTTACTGCCAATCCCACGAAAAACACAGAACAAAACATACCTGGCCATCAATTCACGATCGGTTTCACTGGACGATGTTGTAAGTGATCGTGTTCCACGTTTCATCATTAGTCACCAACCGCCACAGAAATGGATCGATTTTGTTGCAATTCAGCAGCGATTCGCAGATGAAAATTTGATCCATGAGGTTTTTTGCGTTAACTAGTGTAGCACCCATACATCAAACTTCTTTTTGTATCCAGCCATATTCAAACGGTTCTAAACGATGTTTGGTTTTTATGCAATCTTTAGCTCTTAGCCAATCGAAACAGTGCTTAAATAACTGTAACTAGTTGGACTTGACAATTTTCATGATTTGATTGTATCTTCGACGATTGGCCTACTAGAACATCTACTGGTGCATTTTTGATATCGAAATTAACGGAACCGAGTCGACGAAACCAAAATAGCGCATGATTGGCTTTTACAGTATCAGGACTATAAACACTATTCACATTTTCAGCCACTTGGCTTCTGGCTTGCGGTTTCGCCATTATCAAAGAAAAACTGTGAAATATGACGTATTTTTTTTTTTTTCTGCTTATGTTCATCTTTAACAAGCACTCAAACAAAACTGTGCCAACCAATTGTCAAAATTATTTTTAATATGAAATCTCATCCTTCAAACGCCATCTAGTGTGACCCCATCTGACTTTTACAACGTGGGATACAGATAACTAAAGTTATCTAGTGGAAAAAAAATCGATTTCCTTTTACTGCACCAATTTATCATTTAATATATGTAATATTAGTGAGTTATATAGGCGTTCACTTACAAGATTGTCATATATCAGGACTTTCCAGATCAGATAAGGTTGCGATCTATTACAAATCACTGAATAGATTGGAGGACCGCGAAAATAAATACATTCATAATTTTTTCGAAGAATAATAAAAATATGGCGATAATGCTAAATTAAGTTCTATTAATTCTTTAATCATCTTTCTTAATCATCTTTTTTTTTTTTTATTTTTATAAAAATTATATATATTTTAAAAATTTTAATAAAAAATAATAACATTATTTAAAAAATATATCTATAAATCAATATATAAAATAAGAGAAATCAATCAATATATACTATAGTCATTGTCAAGTAAGTAAATTAACATGAAGTATAATTTTTTATTATATAAATTTAAATTCAATTATTTGGACTACCATAAAAATAAAATAATGTTATGTGACTAAAATATAACATATCGTAGGCCGCATGAGGCCCATAGACCATGCTATGAACAGCCCTGTCTCATACAGTGACAACAGTTGTGAGACGGTTTTCGATACAAGATGACTGATTAATAAAAATACAATTAAAATATATAGGCATTAATCACTTAAGTTAATAAATAAACAAATGAGTAACACTTTTAAAGTCTTCGATTTATAGAAATCCCAGTTTTAATACTTGCTCTCAATATTCACCCTAGAAAGCAAATACTAGAGTGTGATTAAGATATTCTGCTTTTTTACTCTCAACATATTTTATTGACTTGGCAAAGTCTATTCATAGAAACTATTTAAAATAATTGTGTATATTTTATATATATATACATATTTCTTTTTTTGGTTTTATTAGTAGTAGTAGTACCTTTTCCTCACCTCTTGGGTTAAAATATATTTCCTACCTAAAGACTTAAAGAATATTTCTTTATACCTATGTGCATATGGGTATGCAGATGTACGTACAGAAAGTGGAACGTGTACACGGTGCGTGCCAGAATTATTTCAAGCGATAAATTTAATATATTTAAATACCTCTAAGCTTATATTTTCATCCTTTTGAAATCCTTTTACATGTTCTCTGACTTGTGCGTGTATGCATTGATATGTGCGTGTTAATTACAACAGAAATGGCGTTAAGCCTCTTCTGCATTTCATCATACCTTCAATGCTTCATTTCGGAACGTGATATCCTGCGTAACTCCTTCTTTTGCATTTATTTCAAGTTTTATTGTTGTAATTATTATTATTTTTTCTCAACAATTTTTTCTTAATTCAGTATATTCCTTTCTTCCATCCAACTTAGTTGTTGTGTTCATGTTCGGCTTTACTCTCGTTTAGTAATAACTTGAAGGACAACTGTCAAATGAAAAACTGCTACGGCTAAAGCGTAAACACTAATATCCTTTCGAATCAGGCTAAGCAAAACTATTTCAACAAAAACGTAAGTTCTAATGAAGTGAAAATATGGAGGGAATAGGTGTACTGATGTAGTGTGCAAGCAAAAAAAAAAACCGGGGTAAAAAATAATGTATATGTCACAATCATTTTGATGGAATAAAAATAACCTTCTAAATCAATTTATTCGTACTTGAGATATGAACCCACTAAAACTAACCCTTAGGAACGCAAAATGTACAAATTTTAGTCAATGGCATTAAAACACTGCATGCTTCTTTTTGGAACAACCGGAGAAGTATGGCTAGTGGAATAGACTTTGTTGACTCATGTTAAAAATTAAATATTAAATATGATTTAATTGTGTCTATAGGTCTACAAATTACGTCTATAAAAATTTCTTTACGGATTTGGCTGAAATTTAAAACAAAATAAATCACACGTACGCCGAAAAAAACATTTTTAATTTTTTGCCAGTTGATACGGATTAATGGAGTTTTGAAAATTTATATGTAAGAAATTTCTTAACTGGTCACAAAATTTTCATAAGTTTATTTCAATTATCTTTCAAAAGTCGAGAACATTATTATTAAAAATAATAATATATAAAGATCCGTGAAACCTTATTAAACACAAACATGAGTTAACTCAAAAATAGTCTTATACATGTTCCATTTCTTCTTCGACGTCTCTCCGAGGTGCCGTTGTTGTTGCAAGCCACTGTTATTAATCCGATTTATGTTCATCTGCATTTTTTTCCAACTCTCTTTCATACAACTCCGAATGGTATCTTATACCATTTAAATGTTTATATCGTTTGTTGCACCCTGGAATGGGACAAGGAAATGGCTTCAATTGCGAGTGATCTGCCCTTAGAACCGAATTTTGGACAATTTCATCCGGAGTCAAATTACTCAAGGCAATATGGGTACTTTCGTTAAATGTTGGAGGAGGTGATGCAGAGGTTGTTTGTGTTGGAACATCACTTGTCTTTGCCATGGATGGCTCAACATTACGGTTAATAGATGAGATTCTCTTCTTTGAGAATGAGATTTTAGAACTGTTACTTTTTCGCTTTACCGCCGATGATGATGATGGAATGTCATCGTTCTCAAATGATTCAGCATCTTGATTACCAACTATTTTCATTGAATGCATCTTGGGAATTAAACCGCGCTTTGCTTGTGCAACGACCGACTGAAACGGTGGTGGAGAATTATTGCTGCTTGCCGAAAATATTGGTACCTGAAATGGTGTATTTGCGTTACTATTAACAGTAGCAGGTGCTAACACAGACTGTGATGATGGACCAGCACCATCATATCCATTTGCATTCAACAACTGAATTGGAGGCTCACAATTATTGCAGTTTACTGGAGCCACGGATGGGTGGAGACGTGGTCCGTTGTTGATGCGATGAACCGGAGGACCTATTGATTAAATCATAGAAAAATGTAAATTTTGAGGTAGATTAAAATCGAAAAGCAATACACTTACGCATCATCACGTCATGGATATTGTTAGGCAATATTTTGCTCATGGGCACCATGGTTTCAATTCCAGAGACTTCTTCACTGTCATCCATTACAATATGTACACGCTCAACGTGCTGAATCAATTCAGCCAGACTACCGAACTTTTCACCACAACCGCTGTATTGACATTTGTTGTTAAAAAAGAAAGCCATTGTTTCTGTATATAAAATCTGATATGTTTTTCTATTAATATTAAAATTAATTGATATATATTCTCGTTTAATGGAAGCTTTTGATTTTTTTGTCTTCGTTATACCGGAATTACTAAAAACGAATAGTATAGTTGTCAAAATGAAGACGAAGGAATGATTTATATTGGAATATTGAAAGTTGCTCTGGCAACAACGTTAACGACGAAGGAACGGTGCAGCGCCTCAAATCTGTGCGCACTACATACAAACATCGCAAGATAAAAACAAAGCGCATTAATAAAAATTTTAATTAGAAAACACTTATCCAATTATATTTGTGAACCTTTCGATTATGACAACTCTGCATGTCTTAATTCTTTACACCGTTCCTTCGTTGTAATTTTGGCGATTGAAGCATTCGTTTTTGGCAGATGGTACAGTTAACGTTGTCGCCATAGCAACTCTCAATGTTCCAATATAAATCGTTCCTTCGTCTTCATTTTGACAATTTTATCATTTGTTCTTATTGTTTCGACTAAGCGAAGCTAAAAAAAATCTACAGCTTCCATTAAACGCGAATATATACCAATTCATTTTAATATTAATAGACAAACGTATCTCGATTTTATATATAGAAACAATGGCTTTCTTTTTTAACAACAAATGTCAATACAGCGGTTGTGGTGAAAAGTTCGGTAGTCTGGCTGAATTGATTCAGCACGTTGAGCGTGTACATATTGTAATGGATGACAGTGAAGAAGTCTCTGGAATTGAAACCATGGTGCCTATGAGCAAAATATTGCCTAACAATATCCACGACGTGATGATGCGTAAGTGTATTGCTTTTCGATTTTAATCTACCTCAAAATTTGCATTTTTCTGTGATTTAATCAATAGGTCCTCCGGTTCATCGCATCAACAACGGACCACGTCTCCACCCATCCGTGGCTTCAGTAAACTTCAATAATTGTGAGTCTCCAATTCAGTTGTTGAATGCAAATGGATATGATGGTGCTGGTCCATCATCACAGTCTGTGTTAGCACCTGCTACTGTTAATAGTAACGCAAATACACCATTTCAGGTACCAATATTTTCGGCAAGCAGCAATAATTCTCCACCACCGTTTCAGTCGGTCGTTGCACAAGCAAAGCGCGGTTTAATTCCCAAGATGCATTCAATGAAAATAGTTGGTAATCAAGATGCTGAATCATTTGAGAACGATGACATTCCATCATCATCATCGGCGGTAAAGCGAAAAAGTAACAGTTCTAAAATCTCATTCTCAAAGAAGAGAATCTCATCTATTAACCGTAATGTTGAGCCATCCATGGCAAAGACAAGTGATGTTCCAACACAAACAACCTCTGCATCACCTCCTCCAACATTTAACGAAAGTACCCATATTGCCTTGAGTAATTTGACTCCGGATGAAATTGTCCAAAATTCGGTTCTAAGGGCAGATCACTCGCAATTGAAGCCATTTCCTTGTCCCATTCCAGGGTGCAACAAACGATATAAACATTTAAATGGTATAAGATACCATTCGGAGTTGTATGAAAGAGAGTTGGAAAAAAATGCAGATGAACATAAATCGGATTAATAACAGTGGCTTGCAACAACAACGGCACCTCGGAGAGACGTCGAAGAAGAAATGGAACATGTATAAGACTATTTTTGAGTTAACTCATATTTGTGTTTAATAAGGTTTCACGGGTCTTTAATAATATATTATTACTTTTAATAATAATATTTTACAAATCTTAATACATTTGTTAAGACATTCAATTGTTATATCCTATGTAATTAAGAATTGTTATGATACATATAATTTTCCTAAAATATCAAGTATTTATTATTTTCTAATGAGATTTTAATACGTTTTTTTTTTCAAATCATCTGCTTGAAAATACTGTGATAATTTTAATTGGAAGAAATAATCTGCTTATTTATTTCCCTGTATTTTTGTTCGAATATCTTTGTATTAATAGACCAATCATGTTCTTGGCTTTTGGAAGATAATTGAAATGAGCCTGAGAATGAAAATGAAAATTTTGCGTCGAGTAGCCTGAGAACTTAGTGTAATAAATGGGTGAATGGCAGTTTCTATACCAAATAACTATACAAAATAAAAGATATACTTTTTTTTATAATTGGAATGGAATATTTCACATAAAATAATATTTTAATAATTTTTACAATTAAATGGAGAATAATTAATTTGTATGATATGGAAACTATCTTTGGAAGATCGTTTTGTTTCTTCAGTGCTAAATCGTATTTCCGTCCTTTTTTTTAGGTAAAGAATATAAATATGAATGAATGGACTTTCTGCATAATAAGGAATATGCTTCTCTACTTAAAATCATTAGTGTGTGTAATTTTCTAATGGTTCTATTATATATAGTCAAGCAAAACAATCTCTATGTCTAGTTGTCTGTTTGGACAATTTAGTATCATTTGAAACCTCCTTAAATTAAATTTTCGAAATCATCATTATTGCCACTTAATATATTTAATAAGCTTAACGTATTATCTAGTGAAAGCTGTATTATTTAATTGAGAGGATCGTAGAAATCTAGTCGGTATTTTAACCCAGTTCATTTTATTAGATCAAAATAGTTGTGCATTTGGACAATAGAGTCATGTAGGATTTTGTGTATTAGCACAAAAGATTCCCATAGAATGATAGGGAGTGATATGTACTTTATATGTTAACGTTGTAAGAATAATTAATGGAGTATCTGGCAAACAATACAAATAAATGAAATTGTTTGTGAAATTTTTTTAAAATTCAGTTTTTCTTGATAGCCTTATTTTTTGAAGTATTTTTAAAAAATTCCACTTTAAACTTTAACTTAACGTATCAATTTAATTTTTAAGAACGACTTTATTTTCAAATAATTTTTGAAAAATAATTTAACAAGCTTTCACAGTATTTGTGAAATGTTTGATATATTATTTTCATAACGAAATTTATAAATTTTGATTTACAAATCAGATTAAATATTCTGACGCTCTTTGAGACCAACATAGGCGTAGCCCAGGTGTTTATATAATTCGATGCCACTCTTTTAATATGTATTCAATGTAGTTTTTATAATGTGATTGGAAAATAGAATGAACCCATCTTTTTTGTTTCTGAATGTGATTGATTGATTGGGTTTCAATCAAACTGGAAACGGTTCCCGATTTTAATATAAACACCTTGCTTGATTAACGATGCAATTATAAATATGTTTTGCTTTGATTGTACTTTTTGCTGGTTCACTTCTTGACATCCAGAAAATCATCCACATACGGAGCAGGCTGAAGATAGTTTTATATAACTAGTTCATTTAATTTTCAACCGCCCATAAATTTTTTTGCAACTTCACTTAACTAATAGAACTATCATTCACTATCATTGAATAATTATGTGTAAAGGAAATAATAATTCAATTGTATAACATCATTTACTGCAAATTTTAATATAATTATTAAGTAGTCGGTGCAATAATTGCAAATGCATTCTCTTTCCTAGTGTCGTAGTAATGAAGGTTGTCTATTGTTTTTTTTTTTTTGTATTTTTGTGATGGTTGATGTACTAGAGCTATTCAAAGTACAGGTATGTTGCTCTATTCATTTCACTTCTACTCTGTTGCACATAACCTGATTAATGACTTTACGAGTTGTTATAATGACAACAACATGTGGTAACAATAACTTTGTTAAATAGGGAAAAACAAGAAATCTAAATAACATTAAAAACTTAGTAATCGACAAAATGATCACACGTTGAAGATTTATTTTACTGTCACTTTTACTGTATTTTGCTGCAGACACTAAAGTTGACACTACCCTTTAAAACTGGGAGTAGCTTTGGAAGTGGTGTTTTCTCAAAAGAGTTGAATATGTCCTCTTATTATAGGCTTCCAGATCACTATAGTGTTTGTCACGCAGAAGTGCCTGTCATAAAGAAAGCTTTCGGTTGTCTAGAAGTAGATAATATACTTAAAAGGAATAAATACGTACAACCGGAGAGTTTAAATACTTTAAAGTCCTTGAGTTGAGTCCAATTAACATCTAGGACAGTCTTTGACTACTACACATCTCTAAATGAGATTTCGACGCAGTTTAATATTTTTGTAATCTAGGTTCCTGATCATATGGATACTTTTAGCAATTGCGAAACGGACCAGCTAGCCAGTTGGGGTGCTTCAGGAGATCTGAATAGCATTATAAGCTGTGCTATAGATTCTTAGTGGTAGCACAATGCACCTAAAGGCCTAAGTGAATCCCTTGAGATCGCTGGTATAACCTAAAACGTAGCTATGAAGATTTTACGAGCATTGTAGTTGGTTAATATTTCTCTCGTAAGTTGCCATTATTTTTTTGCTCCTCTAAAAAAAAATTACGGCTACTGAAGCAGCTCCTTTAATCACTTCATCATTAAAACCTAATTAATAGCATATTTTTCAGCGTCTTCATTGCAGCATTAAGTAATGTTAAGTGTAGGGAACAGGCTTACATGAATATAGACGCATCGTTTTTATGCATCGTATAGAAAACGACCCACGAATAAATGTTATTTGTTTTTTTTTTATATGTGCACTTTATCCTTAAAATTTTTTTATAATATGCATAAAAAATTTCTTATATCCGGGTCTTCCATTAATAATATACTTTCCGCCAATATATTTCTACATTAAGCCGTATTCTACAAGTGTTATTCTTAAGTCGCCGGAGGTAGTGCTTGACCTGCTCATGTATGTATTTAGTGCATAGACGTGCACATAGATTTTTCATTAAATCAAGCAAATAATAGTAGAAGTAGTAACGATAAATTATAGTAATAAATGAGAGAAAATAAAACGAAGAAGTTATATAGCATTGTGGAAAACGAAAGGAAGAGAAGAAAAATTTTCTATAAATATTAATGTTCTCATTTATTGGTGAAATTTCATTCTATGGACGTTGTTGTTGCTTTGCAGTTTATTTCCTGGCTATATTTTAAGGAGTACCAACTAGTACAGTTCCCTCTACTGTCGTGTATGATGTCATGTAAGTAGTTCTACTGCAGAATATTGATACATTTATTTGGTTTTGACTTAGTGTGAAAAAATTTGAATACATTGGTAAAAGTATATTTAATAATTAACATTGAAGAGACATTTTACAAATGCACACTGATAAAGTTCCCGAAAAATTGTAATTTCGACTAGAAGTAATTCTTACATGAAACTTTTTCTTGTTAAGGACCGAATGTTAACTCTACTCACTTACTAATTCTTTTAATTTATAGTAATAAAATCTAAATCTTAATTTAACTAATGGCAAATATTTTCAGTCTTGCATCTGACGGTTTTGTCGAAATTTGTATATGGAATTCCTCAACTCCCAATGGAGGTACAACTCCTCCATAACATAAAAATGAACTACACTGACAATTCTATAAACTTAGCTAATGCAAAATGAAGTGTGCAGTCAGTGTCAAATTTTCAATATACTATATACAATATATTACCACGTTAAGTTCATTTAGTTCTAGAATATTACCTACCAAATAGATGGTTTAAAGTTGTAAAGTAGTAATTTTGTCAAATTTTTTACGTTAATGCTAAACTTCCTCAAGCTAACGATCTCAAATTCTTTCCAAACTTGCAGCAAAAATATATTTCTACTAATGATATTTCTACTAATGATATTACTACAATTATTGATGATAGTGCTATATTTAGCGATTACAAAGCTGTTTTCGTAGATACTAATCTCTTTTAAACCCATCTAATATTGATTGAAAAATTGTTTCGGAATGGCGAATCAAGTTAATGAACTAAGAAACCGTCATATTACCATCACACTTGATAGTATTAGTTCACTAGCAGTCTCCATAAATCTCTTTGAGCATATATTATGCACCTATTCCATTCTCTAAAATAAATAATCCGTTTTATTAGGTGATAAATTACTGTGCAGTACTCTATTAGAGCTTTTGTAATGATTATTAAATTGGTTTTCTTGAGTTACATATATACTTAAAATCGATTTCTGTTGAGAGTTTCTATAAGCGATTTTGTTTATGACAGCTTTGGTACATTGTCCCAGTATACTTAGCTCTGTTTCTCCTCTTCGTTCTGAATAAATGGAAAAAAAATAACTTCTTTCTAAATTCTAGAATGATTTAGGAACTACAAAACCGCAAGGCTGTTTTTTTTTCTAGTTGATTTTGTCTGGTATTCTGGGGTCAGAAACTGTAATGTTACTCGAAAATCATTGGGTCCATATCTGAGCAATGTAGCAACAAAAAAAATCTATTCGAGTTTTTTTATATTTTTATTTTCCCCAGGTAGGTTGAAAGTATAGAAAGTTACTGTATAAAATTTAAGTGGAAACAAATTTTGGCATTAGATGGTAGAGGTCAAAACCTAAAACCCAATTCCAGTAATACAATACATACACAGAACATATATCTAAGTTGAAATTAAAGAAAAGTGAGGAGAGAATGGAACGATGTTTTTACTAGGTCCTAATAACTGATGAAGAGCACACTCTGCGTAAGAGTTTATTGCTACTACAATTGTAGAGTTGGAGAGACATTTTTTTAATATTGCTTGAGGTCTATAATATATTTTATAACATTTGAAAAATACAATCGAAAATATTCCGTTTTCGTGTAAACTGAACTGAATACTTTAAATTTCGTATTGATTTCTGACAAAATCTGAAGAACAACTGACCGAACAATAATATT